CAAGAAGGAGATGAAGGAAGATGTTTTACTTGCTGGTGATTCAGCTCTGAGACAAAAGAAAATGAAAGAATATCCCCAACCATTTGGATCGTCAAACACTAAATATATAAACTTATTGCTGTGATAGCTTCTCCAGACATGAGTCATACATTTTGAAACCTTATGGGGTCAATCAATTTAACTTCATAAATGAATTACACCACCAAAACCTGACCAAAACCAGACCATTGTGTCCAGACTGGCTCATTTCAGCCTCTCAGAGCTGTCAATAAAACTGTGTGTGAGCTGAAATGCTTACCAGCAAAAGCTGAGAGCAGTAAATCAAATTTAATAGGTTGGTTTTGTTGACTGTACAGGAACGATGCCTGAAAAAAACCAACCCAAGCCTGAACTAATGAAATTCCTAAAGGATACACAAAGACTGTTTCACTTCTGCATGCCTAATGATCTGGGTTTCTGTTTGGTTGCTTTTATGTGAATAATCCCCAGAATTTCTAAATTAAGACCAGCACTTAACATATAAAATATTTAGAAGGGCTTCCCTGACAAAGAAGATCTATTGCCTCCCTCAATAGCTGGCTCCCATAGTTAATTACTCTCATTTATGTTTAATTTAAATGTGTCCCTTCGTTTCCCAGCAGCATGATATTTTTATGCTATTATCTGCTACACTGAAGTGCCCTCCTCTTTCATTTATCTTTCCGCCATGTGGTCAAGTTGCCTTTTAAACTTTACTTTGAAACAAATTGACATTCTTCTGCCTCCCCTACAGATGACAGTGGCCTTTCCCTGCATTATAGTGGGGCTTGGGTTTAATTTATTTTGCTTTTGCTGGGATGGCATGAAGAATAACAGCGTTTCCAACTTCATCTTTATTTTCGGCTGTTTTATTTCTCCTACAGCAAATATATTGCCAGTAAGTGATGCCAAATTGATAAGAGGAAAACAGAATTCTTTACTATCCAGCTAACCCCACACTGCCCTGCTCTCCTACAGAGTCTTGTAAGATCACCAGCTGTGGTAAAGATGGTCTCCCTTGATATTAGGAAATAAATGTTGTATCCCCAGCACTGTGGAGTAACTGCAGTCAGCAAATGTCAGCTTCTGTGACAAAGTCACAAGCCATCAGAGACCCGAGCTTGCTCCTGCTCTGCATCAGGACCAAATAARTAATCTCCAGGCATGAAATACAGAATCCAATGATCAATACCCAGAGTCATCTTGTTCTCTGAGACAAAAATAAACTTCCTCTAGGTGCAAGAGTGACTGTTCTTTCTCCAAACAAAACTGAAAAGCTGGAGAAGAAACAAAGCCAGCCACCTKAATTTCATTTAATAGTCACTGTGGTGTGGAGGTTTCCTTAAGACTGTATAATRTTACTTTGGTTAATCTCACARTGGTGTGCCCCAGCAATAGAATGGYATCTGCTATTTAGGATAGGTTTGGTACAATTATGCCTTTTGCAGTATCTGTATCTCATTACTTTCAAGGATATTCAACTTCACTTTTTCTATTGAAACTAGAAAAGATAACTATAAATGTCTTCTTCTGTGATATAAAGCTCAAACTACAGAAGAGAGATCTCACRAAATTACTCTTGTTTGCATTCTGAAGATGGAACTTGTCATTAGAAAGACGAACATTTTACATTCTTCTTACATTTTCTAATATTATAATGACAGATATTATGGCAAGCACCATAATCTGTTCCACTGCAGTGCAAACAGTAATAATAAAATTGCAATAGTTAGAGATGGGAGTTCATTATTTTCTTTGCCTTCTGTCAGGCTRTTGCTGATCCATGTAATTACAGCAGTTGCAAAGATGCAGTTGGGACAGCATCAGTGCTTTTCTCTGGGCAKTTGCATTACATTGACTTTGTACTGATACTGGGACTGTACTGCTCCCAGSATTGTTGTACTGGAAATACGGGTATGAAAAGCTCTTTTTGTATTTTAATATATCTTAAAAATTACAGGCAAGCTCCAATTTCATAGTATTTAACCTGGAGATAGCAGCTTGCTGCCCAAGCTGATGTGGATAAAGCTGTACACTCAGCAGAGTTGTACCCCTTCCTTGAGAGAGGCAAGGTCAGCAAGTCCAGTTCTTTTCACTTAYATCTCACTTAAGAGTAAGAGCCCATTTTCAGGTTCTTTTCAGTGGTCAAGGTCAGAAAAGCCTGTTATGTGGTCACAACACAAGTAGTGAGGGGTTTTCCAACTCCGCACATTTCATTTCATGCATGCAAATGTAGATTTATYTGAAACATGCACTGGGGATATACTGGTTTGGGTTGAACTTGAGATCAGGCAGGGAGGACACAAGCAGGCCATGCACAGCAGGAGGTTTGCCTGGGACACAGGAGATCCGTGTTCACGTCCATGCTCTGTCAAATTCAGTGTGAGGATGTGATTCTGTCCCTCTGGGGAGACACATCCTTGCTGCCCTGTTTCAGAGCTCATTGCAAACAGGCTGTTTGCTCTGTGCCAAACTGCCAGAATTAGTGATCTCATATGAAAGGAAGCACTGGTCGATGATTTAGTTTCACCAGCAGCTCAATGACCTGAGTATGTTTTCCTTCTAACATACACAGGAGCGTTTAATCTCCTGCTTTACTGGGCTCTGTTTGACTTCACSTACCATTATCACAGTGACATGTGGGTGGAGAGCAGAGCTAACCACGGATTATGTACAGTACCCACAGCAAATGTAATCAGGCTGAATTAGCAGGGATTGAGTCTCAGGCTCCTGGAAATAAATTGCAGTACTACATTTGTCATCTGTGAGCCTTTAACAGCCACAAAACACTCACAGCATAGGCCTGTGGTCAACTTCAAACAAATTATACGAGACATTTCATACTGTGATTAAGGTGAACTGGACCCTGCAGACAGATGTGTGTGTGTTCACTACAATTTATCTTTAAAGACTGTCTATAAATCCTAAAAAAGGAGGTGTTGGTTGGCTTTTGAGTTTAATGGGGAGGGAGGTTGTTGGAGTTTTTTTTTTTYCCCTGTTAGATATGAGAAAGATTTGAAGCACAATGGAATATAAGTATAATTGAAGTTATATGAGTATAACAGTATAAACAGAAAGGAAGATTTTAAAATCATCTCCACTTAGAGGGGTATCAGGAATTAGATCATGTTCTCATCAKTCACTGTCTGACACTGACACCAGCAGAACTATGATATGGTACAAATTCATGATAAACACATCCTATAYTTGGTGTAATATAGACACATAAAAAAGTAAATTTGATCCTGAGAAAATGTTATTTCAAAGCTTTTCCCTCCCCCCTTTGAAACGTGACTTSCAGCATTTCAGTGAAGTACATCAGCTAACAGGGCTAAAAAAACAGCAAAAACACCAAGAGGCCATCTCTTCAGAGGTCYWTYAACCTGTGTGAGCTACACTGCCTTWAACAGGACAGGAGGACCTTTGTCCTGTTAAGATGGAGCATGTCACGCTCTGTGCACCACTGGGTTTCCTCTCTGCTYTCTAGCCTGCCTCTCTCACAAGCCTGGGGAAAGCAAGAGCACCACTCTTTTGGGAGTCCATCATCCCAGATATCTGACACACAGAAAAGGGCATCAGATAATTTTTTTCCTGCTGGCTATGCCTTAYATTAGCTCAGCCCAAAGCACCTCTCCTCTGCCCTCCTTGTTTCTCCCAGGTCAGTGATGACTCATCTGCACTTTAATGGAGGACCCTGAGGCTTAATTCATTGTCTGAAAAGAGCTTTGAGACCACCACGTGAAGGGTGTTACAGAAGTGCAAGGAAGTTAAGTCTTGTAACTCATACCCATATGCTCTGTATGCACCTTTGTATATTTTTTTTCTTTTCACAAAACCAAAATTTGAACCTCATCCTAGAGCAGGGAGGGAGCCATGCACTCCCTCTCCCATGATGCATCCCCCACCCCCATTGCTTTCTTGTGCACAAGGCTTGGRAAAAGGGGGTGCAACATACCCAGCAATCGAATTTGCATGATGGCGCCGTGTAAAACGAAGAACATCCAGAGGGGCTGGGAACAGTCCGCACAGACCTGCATGCCAATGCCGGCACCGTTGTGACTCAAGTGCAGCTCACCGTCTGAATTCACCATAAATCCCAGGATGTCTCCRCTCTGGAGGGGCACCACCACTCGGCAGATGGCCCAGAACTCCTTTCGGTCAACCAGGGATTCGGGGTTATAGGGGAGGTCACTGGGGCGCAGGGTGCCGGGGTCGCAGGACGTCACCCCGTAGGACAGCGTCCCTGTGCGCACCRCGTTGGACTTGTTGATTTTGACGAAAATTGTTTCGTTGATCCGAAGGGGTCTGCTGGTGAAAACCAAAGTCCTCTCCTCCCGGGCGTGCTCCAGGCGGGCCACGGTTTGGTCATCGAGGATTTTGACRTGGGGTCCTCGGAGGTGGTGGAAGCGGAGGTCGCTCTCCAGCTGGGAGGGGAGGAGGTGGGAGTGCTGGGAGTTGAGGGAGTTCTGCGGGATGGGGCAGGTGGTGGCCGTCACGTGGAAAGCGTCCTCCTGCAGGTTGAGGTCACACAGGCTGACCGAGAGGCGCGTGTCCTCCGTGTCCCGCCGCAGCGAGGGCCGGCGGATGGCCGTGAAGGAGCGGGGCCGCAGGCAGTCGGGAGGGATGATTTCACTGTCTGTGGGAAGAAAGAACACAAAAAAGGGGTCACTTTCAGAGAAAATGGAAATGTCCAGGGGCTTGAAAAAATATGGGTTTGCTTGATATGTTTAAAAGGGAAAATCTGCTGCCATTATTAAACTTTTCCCTTTGAAACATGGGAGTAGAGTATCATAAAACRCATTTGCAATCAATTGCTGTTCTTGTACTTTTCCCACCAGCAACATTTCCAGCTTCTGAGCAGGCAGATTCAAAATCGATGGCAAGAATTGCCCAAGGGAGGCTCTCCTTGGAGAGGGAAAGCAGAGGATAAATATCTGAAATACATCCTGAACACACCAATCAATATCTACACAGGCTCCAAGTCTTCATGCCCTCTTTACTGTCCACAGTAATTCTCATAGACTCATGAAATAAATATCTTACTACACATTTTTTTAATTAAAAGGAACTGCTATGTTCAGTTCTATATTAGTTGCCACTATATGAAATTYAATTAGTATTCCTGTCTTTAACTAATCATTAGTGTTCTGGTGCTCACTGCAGAGCAGTACAGATACAAATTTTACACTGCAGAACTTGGGAATATGCTGGGTTTTAGAAATACAATACAATCATTTATTATGTTCAAGCCAAACAATTAAAATTCAAATCCACSAGTGGAAATAAAATTGCACCTTATCCTCTTTGTTAGTATCACCTGTTGCTTCAAGAACTAATCAATTTGATTCCTTTTTTTGAGGAACATAATCCCCTGTCTTTAATGCCAAAATTACTTAAATTTAACATACCCTTAGCTGTGCTGTTGTTTTAGAAATTTTAAAGAACAATGCACTGAGAAAAAAAAACCTTCATTACAAAAATTCTAAAGAAAGCTGAGATAATGCAAAGATTTATTCTTATGTCCAACTTTCTGAACTCTGAGATGCCCGTAGCACAGAGAATATTCACAGTATGAAAAYTGAGTATGTGGGAAACTCCTGGGGTGGTGTAAGAAGCTGTGACCTACATGGACTGAAGGCTGTTGTGGCTTTGAGCCCAGGTCCAAATAGTGGGAGGTGACACCAYCCCACACAACACAGAGCAACACACCAGACCCCAGCGTGGGACGTGCTGCAAACACAGCACAAGGTGGAACAAGAAGAGGCAGAGTCATTTCTAAATCACATGCTAGGCCCTTGCAGTGGACACCTCTTCCAGCTACATATCCCACATATCCTTGGGATTTTCTTTATGGCAACAAAAGAGCAGGACTCAGGTTATCTGAGGATTTTCCCAATGGGATGTACTCTCTCCCAGTACACCAGAGTAGTAGCTCTGTACTGGTATGCCAAGGAATAATGCCAGCTACTGAGTAACCAACATCTCCTGCAATATCTGAGATCTGACTAACAGCCTTTCCRTCCTCTTCTTCTGGGAGCCCTGACAAGAGCACACCCACACAAGGTTTGGCTTCAGTAGAGCTCTTTGCTTTGCTTAAACTGGATTATTCCAGGCTCCTCTTTAAATAAACTGCTATTACAAGGGAAGCAGAGTCTCAAAATAAAAACGGGCTTTGTTTCTCATATTCGATTTTCCGCATACTGATATTTCAGCCTCTCTTCCCAGAAGTTAATTGAAGAAAAGGAAGAATAAATAAAATCAGAAATTACCCCAAGTAATCTAGAAGTGGGTCGCATTAATGCTTTGARATGCATGGGCTAGCATTTGCATTCCAAGTGCTCCTGCTGGATAAGCATTGGACTTATTTTACCATCCTTTAGCTGGAAACCTACATAGGAGAACAAATTAATACTGGCAGCTGAYGACGATCCCTTTGTGTAGGTGAATGGATAGAGACCTTTCTGAATAGGAACAGAAGGTCCTCTCTATTTTATTCCCTGTAACTATGCATGTGCAGCCTGGCTGACAACTGTGATGTGTGGGTAGCTTGCAGCCAGGGTTTTGAAACAGCTTGTTTTCCACCAGGATGCTTGCATTTCCCTTTGGCTGCTGGACAGAATATCTTTTTCCATCTGAAAAGAGGTTAAGAGAGATGGAGTTCTGCAGACAAGACACATGSCAGTGATAGCAGACCAGGGTCACATATCCAACTGTTTTATTTAAACTCCTCAGTAGCTCAGATGCATGGCCACGTAAGGATATAGAAGCRACTGTGAGACTTAGTTCATTAATGTTTGCAAATACCCATAGAGGAAAGGATTGCAGCTTCCTGGCTTCTGAAATGTGTTTGTGAAAATGTAGAGATGAGTCTCTAAGAGATGCTGGCCTGCTTCACAAAATATTCAGCCAAAGGAAAAAAAAAAAAAAAAAGCCCCATTGAATATAAATCAAAACAGAAGTGCGATTCATCTTTTGGGGTAGTAGGTAGGTTGGATGAAATATGGAATGCCATTTACCCAGAATAACTGATAATGGCCAAGGGCTATGAAAGAACGATTCTGGTGAAATGTGCAACAAATAAGGTGACTTTGACCACTTTCTTTCAGCAGAAGTTGCCCAGGAATCAGTTGTTTCCTTCCTGTAAATCTTCAGTTCTTGCTTTTTAAATACAGATCACACTATTCATGTTGAATACAGACAAAGCTCTTCATGCTGGAGTAGCCCATAACACAGGCAGAACAGGCCCTGCAGAACATTTACAGGTGATCTTTAATGCCTACAAAGGAGGGGACTCCTTTGTTCAGGAGCATTTATATTTATGGAGACAAATCTGGGAGACACATCAAAAAGCCTGAATAACTTCATGTGATGAGACTGTAAGACTGTAAGACTCCAAATGGGTCCAACAGCCCACTCCCAAGGACCACCCAGCTTCAGCCTAAAGAATTCAGAAATCATTCATTTCTTCTTATTAAACATTCAAGGTTATAACATTTTTTGGATATGGCAGTTGGCAGTGCTTCTGTGGGAAAAGACACTTGATGGGAGTTCTCCTTGGGTGAAAATAGAYGGACTTGTGAGTGAAGACCACAGCTGTCCCCAAGCCACCAGAGCAGTGGTTGGGACACCAGCAGCAAGCTGGCCTTGACCATGGCAGCTCAGTGGAGCTGGCTGCCCGGGTGGATTTCCAGAGAGGTTTTGCTGAGCTCTGCATCAGTGCAAGTTACGATGTTATTTCTGGATTTCAAGACTTAAAAATTTCTGGTAGCAGTATAGACACAGCCAAAGTGAAAAGTATTTCAACTAAATACAGATTTTCTGCTCCTCAGCTTGAGAATCTGAGACAATGAATTTAACGGATGCCTATTTTCACAAATGCCTTTGTATCTTTTTTCTGGCTTTGTTTAAGAAAAAAATGTAAGGAGGAGTAATTAATTTATCTAAGTAGAAATGAAGGGAACTTGAGCAGTTCAGCTGCCTTCTGTTTTCTCCTCCTCTTTAGTGGKGTTCATCTGCAAAATTTAGATTCTCAGCAGGTGATTCCTTACACAGAAAATTAATTTGAAGTATCTTCCTCAGAGCAGAGGCTTCAAAGCTTTCCATTTTCCTGCTCAGAAGGCACGGAAGAGCTTCCCACTTTGTGCAGGCTCAATGCAACTGCAGTAACACTTTAAAACAGCTTTTACAAGGAGCTGGTGAGCAGACAGATGCAGYTGTAATGGTACTCAGATCAGAAGTATTTCACTACCACCTTTCTTTTGAACCACTGCCAAATGCCATCTCCTCAAAATAATTTTTACCTTTAAACATGTTAATATGTARAATACATATTTATTATAGAGATCACAGACATGCACATTGAATACAGCTGCMAGCACATCCAAACACAAAAGCATTTCTAACCACCAGCATGCACACGTCATCTCGGCCCCACACAAGCCCGAAGGGGATGTGCTGCTGTCAGGCTGTCAAATCATCATTTCCCTCCTCTATTTTTTTTTCAGTACTGTCTGTTACTGCCCCAAGGCTTGACTTTCCAAGGTCATGAGCAGCCACTATTCGTACACCTGTAAAGGACCCAAGACAGCAAAGCAAACTCAGCATGGACACACAAACACACACTGGAAACTCAGACAGCCCCCATTTAACTGCAGATCAAGAGACACAAATCTACTTTTGATCAGTTTTCTGAGATTGGTGCAATCCTACAACCTCCATGAATTGTAATTCTTCAGAGCATGAGCTCTGCACCAGTCTCCAAAATGAGCTGTGGAACAYCTACTAAAAATAAACCAAGTTTGAAACCCACTAATACAAAAAAAAAAACCCCACATTATTAGGGGAATCAGACCATTCTGTGAGAACCTAAGAACATATCCCCTTTCCAGTGATTCTCCTTCCCAGGAGAGAGAAATGCTGAGAAATGAAGGAACTGCCTAGTGATTCCTTGCATTTGGAGAACATTTCTGTCCTCAGCTACTAAGCCAAGAGTAAGAGATTGGTAAGGCCAGAACTTTGCTGGTATGATGCCTCCCTTTCCATGCAAAGYGTCATGGTTTTCCTTCCTTCTGTTCTTTGCTTTAGTTTTTCTCAAGTGCAGGTTTTTTCTCTTAATCCCTCACTGGGTAATAGCATTTTTAGCGAGTTCTGGTGCTCATGGTATAATTTCCGTTCCAAGGAACCTCAAGGATGTTAAAACTACTGAAAGACACATTGAAGTCAGAGGCCTCTACAAGAATAATTCTATGTGAGCCTGCACCTGCAAAAGGATGTAYCCTGTATTATTCCCACCACACTGGAGCAGTTCAGTTCCCACTCAGGAATGCAGATGAAGGCTCTTTTTCCCACCATCAGTGCCATCTGTCAYAAGGAGTTACCCAGGGAGGACAGCTGGCCTTCCAACACCTGTAATCCTGCACTATCTCCTCCATTGTCTACTGCAGAATTATGAAACAAACAGTCCATTTGGCAGGATTTTGACGTTGCAGGGAGAGGTGTTTGAAATATGAGGCCGATGGACCATGCTGTAAAATAGCATCACACTCAAGGGCAATTGGGAAAAGCAGCCAGTTGTAAAACAAGAAATAAACCTGTGCTTCTGGAAACCTTCTGTCCTTCACAGGCTCGTACTCCCCA